GATAGAAACAGAGCCACCTCATACTCTCTAGTGCTCACTGTACTATTTTTTCTTATCTGCACATGTCTTTATGTCTTCCACAAATGTCCTTTCATTCATTTTCTGCTTGAGATTCTATCCATTCTTGAAAGCTATTTTCCATAAATTGCCTCCCCTAAGAGACTTTCCCTGATTGCTCCTCACAACCAGTTACTATTCTCACGTACTCACAGTGCTGAGGTGATACTTGCTTTGCATCACTGAGCACAGCCTCTTGTAAGACTGCCATTAGCTCGTCCAGGCCGATACTAGTCCTCTTAACTTTTGGACCACACAGAGATGAGCACAGAATGAGCTTGTAGAAATATGCCTTGAATTCAGGGACAACTCTAAAATATTTACAAAGGACCTCTCATTGGACTCTTAGGGGTGAGAAGGGACTTGGAGAAGGGACTGTCTTCTATCTGCATATGCTTAACATTTTGCAGAAGATTGAGAAACTACACATTGCTTATTTTAAAGAATTGGGAGGGGAGCAGAAACAGAAGTATTCGGACACCATTCTCTTTTATTTATTTATTTATTTTTTTGAGAGAGAGTTTGTTGCTATAGGGCACGTGCGCTCGCCAGACAGACAGAGAGAGACAGAGAGACAGAAAGCGAGAAATCACCGCCCCCCAAGGGGGATGGCCACGCCGCAATACCTTCTCCTCCATTCTCCTCTCGGAATCTTGGGCATGCACGCACACATGCCCGGTGTGAGTTTAAGCCATCGGGTCTGGGCCTCGAACTGTGGTTGACTACATGGGAGTCCAGCGACATAGCCATTACGCTAACTGCTGGTCCCCAGACACCATTCTCTTTGAACCACTTTTGCTGTGATGAAAGGGGAGGGTGGGGGAAGAATTGCCTCAGAAGAGAGAACTTTCTAGCTGGGCCCAGGTTACCCCAGTTAACACATGGCAGAGCCCTGACATAGGATATTTTTGTTCTCATTGGCTGAGAAGAAGCAAGCTGTAGTATGTCTTATCTTCTCATGCACAGCTTCAGAACTCATGTTCTCACCTACTCTGTAAGTAGGAGAGCTGACAGATTTCTATCTCCTCAGATTAAAAGAAAAATCAAAACTATAATGACTCCATTGGACATTTCTGAAAAACCACTAAACATTGGGAAACCTGGGAGGTAGGCTGTCTGAAAAACCTTGAGCAAGTTTCTGTCTGTTCTTAGTCCTTAGTTTCACCATCTATAAAATGGGAATACTACCAATACCTTTCATTCAGGGTGATTGAGTATCAACCACTGTTAAGAAATGGTTCTGATACATTTTTCAGGGCTCTGGAAAGATGAGAAATTGTTTTCCCTTCTCTTCTTAGAGGCATATCCTATTGGGACTAGGGTTTCTCTTGGTCCTGACCATGTTTCTGTGGTGTTCAGGGACGTGGGAGCAACGTCATCCACTGCCGGAAAGATGGCACCTGGAGTGGCTCCTTCCATGTTTGCCAGGAGATGCAAGGCCAGTGCTCAGCCCCGAACCAGCTCAACAGCAACCTCAAACTGCAGTGCCCTGACGGCTACGCCATAGGTATGATGGGCCCATGAGGGGAGAAGCAGGAGGGGCCGAGTCCTTCTGAGAACTCTGGGAGCTTGGGGTTAGTGCCTAGGTGGATCATTGAGCATCTCTGTGAGACCACTGCACAAGGCACTAGGGAAACAGAGATGAATGAGACCAGACCTTTTTCACAGAAGGAGACCCAGCAATAGGGGAGTAGGTGTGCAGTTATACCAGAGTATGGAAAAACTGTTTGAGATCCTTATACAGGAGTTCGAGAGAGCTTGTAGGGCAAGAAGTGGAGTTCCATAGAGAAGGAATCAAGAACAGAAGATACGGAAGCACACATCATATTTAGGAAAGCAATGGTGGTCTAGTGTGTCTCCTTTGTTATTAGTCTTGAATTGGGCACCATGGTCAACATTCATGAGTGCCTGCTATGGGTCAGGTCTGCATCAAAAGGATAAAAGGCATCCTACCACACCCTCTCAAAAACCCCTAACAGATGATGACATTGAAACCTCAAGGGGTAAGGGATCATGCCCCTAAATCCAGAGGCCTGTCCTACTCCCAAATGACGTTTTTCCATTGGCATCACAGCCACCTCCAAAACGAAGACAAATGGTACTTTAAAAATACTATTTGTGTGGTTAGAAGCTGGTTCAAAAAATTCACATGGTTAAAAACAAAAACAAAACAAAACAAAAAAACAAAAACAAAACAAAATAAAAAATACACACGGTAAGGGGAGACAACTCAGGATTTGATGCCAGGGATTTGTCTGGTTGGAAGCAGTGTCTGGACAGGGGCATTAATCACTGACTCCATGACTTTCTGGGGAACTCGGAGTGCATGGAGGCTGACCTCATTTAAGGGCAGTGATGCTGACCTCTTGGGCTGACTCCCTAATTGACCATGATGAAAAGCCCAGGGAATTGAACGTCCTTTCTCATGGCCAGTGTGATTTATGGGGCAATCGCCAGGGCTGTCTGGCTCAGAAGGTTATTTGAATGTGCACAGAGCCAATGCATTCTTCACCCAGCAAACCAAGAGTTATCACAGCATGTCGAGAAGCAAGGTCTGTGGTTGGAGAGTGGTGATGTGTGGGCTCTAACCACCTCCTTTACCAGATGCAAACACATAACCTAAACTTAGAATAGGAATCTGAACTTTTTAGTCCAGGGCACTTGCTCCATTGGAAATTTCTGAAAGACCACTAAATATTGGGAAACTTGGGAGGTAGGCTGCATGGATCAGAAAACACCAGAGAATATGGTTACTCTCTCTGAAGATTCATGAAATATTCAAAATCTTAGAGCCACCAACACAGAAAAAGGACTTCGACCAGGAGGGTCACAGAGAGGTGGGGATGTGATCCTGCACCCAGTATATGGGCTTGCCGATATAAACATTCTAGAAGGTTGGGGCAACAAGTAAGTTTTGCCATAGAGAGCAGTCTTGCTCCATCCCAAGGCTGAAACTTCCTCCTTTCCATCATCCCTGATGACATGCATGACCCTGAACATGTCTGATGCAATTCCTACCCCCAACTCATTCAGAAAGCACAGGCAAATATTTGGTCATACGAATGACTGGTGTTGAGTGGCCCTGGGAGAAAAATTCTAAGTAAGTGACCCTCATAAAAATCCTGTAGGTACAGATTTGATGTATTCAAATATACTTACTTACACAAGCACAAATAAACACAGACCACAAGCAGAAATGCTTCATAATCAAATGTAGCTCCATATACACACATCATGCGATAAACTCATGCCTACCCATCCAAATGCCACACAAATGCATCTTGGACACAAACACACATACATGCAGGCATCACACAAGCCCACACATACATATACACACACACAATGTATAAGGGCACATACATAGTGGGCACAAATAGATCTTATGTCCCCTCCACCCCCAGATATCAAACACACAGACAGTAGCACAAGAGGATAACAGAGTTCACACACATGTCCATTCAAATGCATCACATGGCCTCACTGTGCATATATTGCATTCACACGTCACAACCACATGCAAATGAGCCACAATGCCTGGCTCTTTCTCTCAGAACAGTGCAGAGGTGGGGAAGGAGTGTGATGGTAGTATTTCTTTATCCACTGAGCTTTTTCATGGTCAAAGCACAAAGGGAAAGAAATCTGTATGACATTGGAATCTGAATCCCTCCCCAGACCCCATGTCCCCACGACCACCCAGATGTCCATCTTATGAATATGGTAATTCAGGGTAGGCGATTGGTGGGTAGGGGCATACTAGGAGAGAGCAGAAAGAGAAAAGGCAACATAAGGATACAGGAAGATAGTGAAAGGGAAGGCAGGAAAGCAGGTTTCCCTCCCCCACTCCTCAGCTCTGTCTCCTCTCCTCCCTCACCTCCAAATGCCCCTCATATCCACCTTCCTGTCTGGAACCCTTTTCTGGGGAGAGCCCACTGCACCACGGAGAGAATTCAATCAGTGGCCTCATCAGCAGGGGTGAGGTAGGCAGTGGTCTTGGGGGCTGGAAGGTACATTCTGGAGTCACCCAGGCGGGCTCTGTTGGTCTCTCCCAAGCAGCCTAGGGAGGCTTCAGTGGCAGCTGTGAGCCCTTGGAAAGTAGCTGCTCCCCCTGCCACGGCTGCCACCCTCCACGCACCTCCCGGGAAGGAGAAGCGGGGGCCTGGTGAGATCACCATTCTGTAATGATGCCAATTACGGCTCATATATCACAACACAGCAACCTGGTCCTGACGCTGGGGTGTGGGGGAAGGGCACTGAGAGGAGAGAGAGACATTAAGACAGGATTTCTGCACAGGACAGCAAGTGCCTCCTGTTTGGACCGCATTTTTGTTTTCCTCCTCTCTAATGGGATAAGATAGCCTTATTCTATTTTTCAGAAGCTGTATTTTTTTTAAGAATTTTATCATTACAGCCTCATCCCTTCTTTGCTCCCTAATAACTCCTTTAGAACTGGTCTCATGAAAAAATACAAACCACTAGGTTTCTCTGACTGCTTAGGGATTTTCCCCTTATTTTCTTATTCTCATCACTCTTCTTTTTGTGTGATCTCCACTTCTTTGCTGTCCTCTGGCCCTTCACACGTCTCTACCTCCTTCTGTCTGTGCCTTCCTCTGTCTTCTCTCCATGTGGCTAGATCTGATGCTTTGCTGGTCCTAGAAGTCAGGATTGAGGTTGAAGCTTGGTCCTCTAATTCCCAGCCTCTCACCTGAGCTCTATGTCCTTGGCTTCCTCACCTGTGAAGTGGGTGTGATGACGCCCATTTCACAGGGCTGAGTTTGCAGGAAAATGAGGTGATAGGAAAACCACCTGCAAAATTAGGAATCTCCCCGCTCTGGGCTCAGTGCCCCCATGTTTAAAGTGAAGAGATTCTAAACTTTGCCTTGGACTTGCTTCCCACTGATCCTGCCTCTCTCTTCAACCTTGTGAGTCTCTTAGACTAAAGAGAGTGAGTAAGATGGCAACAGAAGGGGTACTGGATAGATCATGTGCATATACATACATAAATACCACACCTTGTCCTGCACCTGGTCCTGGAAGTGGGAAGCCCTGGAAAGGTTTTCAAGTAGAGGTGGAGCATGGCCTAACTGGAGGCAGGGTCCATATGTGTGGCAGTGCATGCCAGTTGGGTGGACTCAGGGGGGCTAAAGGCCCTGCTAGCAAAAAAATGTATATCGCATATATATGTATATGTGTATATGTATGTCCATCTATAAACACATTGCATGTGTATTGGAAGGGGACCTTTAGAATGGCATTTAGGATTTGGAGGGTGATTTTTGTGCTATGACAGAGAGGTGACCTAGTCATATTCTGACGTCTCAAGTCTTCGTCTACATGAATGGGTACCTCTTTGGAGTATTGAGGATATCCCATGGGATCAGTTTGATTTTCAGGAGACCTCAGACTGTGTGAGGTCAGGGTGAAGAATGAATAAACCAAATTAAATTCAGATGCCAACTCACAGCCTAGAAGTCCCTGCACCAAGGGTTTCTATGTACTAACCCATCCCTGCTAATCATTCACATCTTCATTGACTCATTACATAATTTACTTATTTTATTCTTTAATGACAACCTGTTATTTATTCCTTAACTATCCCTTTCCATACTCACTTCCTTCTTCACAAGATACCTAAATACCTATTTATCACTCATTTACTCATCCATTCGTTTCCTCATTCATTGATGCATTCATTCACTCATTGTTTCTCTCATTTCATTTCATGTCTATTCCCTGAGAGATTAAGTACTGCGTGTTGTGCATAGTACCAGCTTTGGGCATGGGGTGGAAAAATTTACAGTGTTGGCCCCATGAAGTCATAATTCAGCAAAGGAAAAAACAGTTGATATAACAATCACCAGACAAATGGGAAATGGGCTTGTGATAAATTCGGGGATGGGCTCCTGTGAGGGAGGTTGGTCTGGGAAACTGTGGAGGTCTTCTCTGAGAAAGTGGCACTTGGATGGAGGTATGTAGAGCCATTAGTAATGCATCAGTCAAAAAGGAGTTGGGGAAATCTTGAAGGCACCAGGAAGCCAGGGATAAAACCTTTTGGAAAGAGAAGTCTGGGGACTAAGAAGCTGATGTTACATTTTTATACTCATCACTCACTCAGCTGGTGCTCACTGAGCTCTCTTTGGCTGTAGATGCTGAGTTAGACTCAGAGGTGAACCGATCACACCTCTGCTCTCCTGGACAATCCTCTAACGGCAGAGAGGAGGCACAGAGGGTGAGGCCCACAATAGACTGAGATTCATCAGTGTTTGACAGAGATAGAGAGCAGAAGACAGAGGCTCTCATTCAACTGCAGAAACCAAGGCAGACTTCTCAGAGGACTTTGAACTTGGCCTTGGAGAATTGATGGAATTTGGTTATGGGAAGGCCAACAGGGAGCACATTTTAGGAGACAGGGTGAATATGCGCAAAGCCACAGAGGGAAAGTATGGGACATAGATGGAAAATCAAGTGTAGTTTGCTTCTTTTGGGCCAACTGAAAAGGCAGTTAGTAAGAGAGAAGAGTTACTGGACCATGGGATGCAGGTGAATGCTTGGCAAAGGGGTTGCACTTTGTCCTGGAAGTGGGAACCCTTGGAAAGGGTTTCAAGTAGAGGTGGTACATGGCCAAACTAGACTCAGGGCCCGAAAGTATGGAAATGAGTGCCAACTGTGTGGACTCAGGGACCAAAGAAGGTCCTTCTAGCCAAGCTTTCTCCTCCCCACTGCCCTGAAGTTAGGACATCTAGGGGACCAAGGAGTAGCAGGGCCCACTCTATGGAAGGGTAGCCATTGGCATCAAGAAATTGTGGCTAAGCTGCCACCTTGTGCTGTGCTTCCCCTCAGGGTCGGAATGCGCCACCTCGTGCCTGGACCACAACAGCGAGTCCATCATCCTGCCCGTGAACGTGACCGTGCGTGACATCCCCCACTGGCTGAACCCCACACGGGTGGAGGTGAGTGGTGAGGAAGGGAAATGGTATTGCAGAAGCTTACTATGTCCTGACCCCAAGTTCAACCCTTTATATTTATTATCTCATTTAATTATCCTGCATGCCCTTTGGGATGGAGACTCATTCACAATCATTTCTCCAGTCTTTTTCTCTTTGTCAGGCCTAAGGCTAAGGATATATATATATATATGTATATATATATATATGCATTTAATTGTCATAAATATTTATGGTATTCCATGTAGTTTTTCAAAGCATGCTTGCAGTGTGACAATCAAATCAAGGATATTATTGTATACATCGTTTTCAACAAATAACCTTATATTCTTGTGTCTGTTATAAGCCTTACTGAGCCCTTACAACCCACCTGCCCCATCTACATGCTCCCATACAGGCTTCGGTATCTATATTTGTCCTCCCCACTATTACATCTTTGAATCTTTCAATTTTGGCCATAGAATGCAGACATTTGGTATATGTTTTGCAGGGATTGTTTGTCTTCCATAGACAGCCTTATTTCACTTAGCATTAAATCTTCTAGACTCATCCACTTTGCATCAAATGACAGTCTAATTGTTCCTTATGGCTATGGCTAAGTAATATTCCACTGTGTGTATGTGCTATAGTTTTTTTAATCCAGTCATCAGTTCTTGAGCACTTAGCTTGATTCCCTGACTTAGCAATTGTGACTAATGCCGCAATAAACATGGATGTGCAAGTGTCTTTCTGACTACTTCCGTGTCCTTTGTATAGATAATAAGGACTGGGATAAATGGGTCATATGGTAGTTCTATCTGTAAATTTTTGAGGAACCTCTCTATGGTTTTCCATAGTGGCTATACATATTTACATTTCCACCAGTAGTGCCTTTCATTACAGCCTTGCCAACACTTATTTATTTATTTATTAAAACTATAACTATTGACAAGGGTTGGGTGATACCTCATTGTGATTTTGATTTGCATTTCTCTTATGATAAGAGATGTTGGGACCAGCAGATGGTGTAATAGTTACATTGCTGATCTCCCATGTAGTTGACCGCAGTTCAAGTTCCAGACCTGGTGGCTTAAAACTCATGCTGGGCACATGTGCATGTGTGCCCAAGATCCCAAGAGGAGAATGGAAGAGAAGGGATTGCAGCATGACCATCCCCCTGGGGGGGTAATATTTTGTTTTCTGTCTTTCTGTCTCTCTGGTGAGTGCATGTACCCTATAGCAAAAATCTCTCTTTCAAAAAAAGAAAAAAAACAGGAGAGAGATGTTGAACTTTCTCTCATGCTTTATGGTCATTCACATGTCTTCCTTTAAGAGTTGTCTGTCTAGCTTATTTGTCCATTTTTATATTGGAGTATTAGCTTTCTCTCTTTTATCTATTGTCCCACAGAAACTGATAACAGCCTAAGAATACAAGTGCTAATGTCCCTGGCTTACACATGAGCAAACTTAGGTGTCAGTACCACGTAGGTAGTGAGCATAGAGCCAGATCCTGGATTCATGTCTGCCTGGTCCATATTCATAGTATGGTGCTATTGGCTACTCAAGTATAAACTCTTAGAAGACAAGTGCCTTCCATGTAGCCTTTCACACTAAAAAACCCAGGTTTCTGGTATTTTCCCCTATGCATTACTTGTTTGGTGGAAAGCAGTTGGTAGGGAATCCAGGGAACAGTAATGCCTGCAGTTTAGGGAGCCCCGGCCATGTCCATGTGCCTACTGCTCAGCACACAGAATATCCGTAACAATCTTACCAGGGAGAGCTCACTGCATCTTCTTCTCTTGAGGATACTGAGATCTCAGAGGTAATGTGATAGGCCCAAACTGAGGGCTGCTTGAACTCAAACCCAAATGTTACCCATGTGCCGGGCTGGACTGCTCCCAGCCAAATGAGACTGTGAAGACCCCCTCGTCTTGTGGCAGTGGCAATTTGGCTTTGAGGTTGGAATTCTCACTTTTTCTGCATTACCCAATCAATTGCGGCCCCCAGAACTGATATGGGACCCCCTCCACCAACCTCAAAAGCATTACAAGCCCCCCAGGCCTCATATGCCACTCTGGGTACTGGCTTCTAAACCTGAAGCAAGTGAGAAAAGAAGAGAGATGAGAGATGGGGGAAGGTGAAGTTCAGCTGCCTCTCTCCACCGGCCTTTCTGGCTGAGGTGCTGGGAAGCCTTGCAGACAGGGAGCTGATGTCTGCCTGCCTGCTGCAGATCCCACTCAGGATAGCCGGGCAGAACCCGATATGGGGTGTATTGTTTCGCGAATGAGCTGAGGGCACGACTGTGAGGGCTTGCTCAGCACTCTGGGCACAAGGACCTGGCCAGACCCCTTCCACTGCCCTGTGCACCCAGCATCCTCCTTACTCCTCTTTCTCTTCTTTTGTTCTTATGTTCTCTATCTCTGTCTTTGTTTCCTCAACTTTATTTCATTTTCCCCCTCTCATCTTTTCCACTCTTTGTTCCTCTCTTTCCTCTCTAATATCTCTTTCATGCTCTTCTGCCTCCTCCCACCAATGCTCTTTGCCCTCCACCCCCATCCTGTCTCTATCTCTCTTTCTCTGTGCCAGTTTTCCCATGTACCCACAAGACAGAGCTATTTCTTTCACTTCATGTTCCTTTATCCCTTGCCTAATCTCAGTGTATCTTTTCCCATTCATGAGCCAGAAGCCCTATACACATCTCTGGAATGTCCCAGTGTACTTAGAGGTGTGAATACAGCGCCTATGTCAGAGTCTCAAGGAATTTGGAGATTATCAAGCAGGATCCCCCGCATTGCACAGACAGGAAGTGTGGAGTATGGAGGGCAGTGACTATCCCAGGGTCACCGGATAATATAGCTGGAACTGCAAGCTAGGCTTGTGATTGGAAGCTCCCTCCACCTCCCTCTCTCCCTCCCTTTACCTACTCAAACTTCCTCTTACCCCAAAGCAGGTGAGTCTTACTGATACGTGGAGCAGACACAGGACACAGAAGACCTCAGTATCAGGGATCTTCTTGGCTGGGCCCAGATCCTACTTGAGGTCTTTTTCACCCCTTGGGTGAATTCCCACCCTTCCTTCTGTGAGTCCTGGGCACTAAAGAGTTCAGTTATAATTCACTGTGAAATAAATCCAGGGATTTGAAAGCCTGCAACCCCCCCCCCCTAGTGGCCCACCCGCTGCCTGTCCGCCCCAACCCCCACCTAGTTCCCTGGTCTGCCTGCCTTTGTTGATGCCGGCCTACTGAGAGAGCCATAACGAGGTTCAGACCTCCACTGGTCTCTGGAGGCCTCATTATCCAGGAGAAAAAAAATGTGGTAGAAAAAGGGAGGAGGGCGAAGGGCAGAGATTGATGATTTCCAGGAATAAGGCTGAAAAGCTGGCCTCTGCTGCACCCTTGCCCCTCATACAGTGAGAGCTACAGAAATAGAGTTGTTGGTGTAGGTGTTTCCAGGCCAGAGGAGGCCCTGGGTGCTCCTCTGCTTTCTGAGGGTTTGACTCTAGCCCCAGCACAACGTCAGAGGTAGGCTTCTGCTCCACCTCTGGCCAATTTTGTCCTCAAGGTAAGAGAGTGAGAGGTGAGACCTGACATTTAGTGGATGCCTACTGTGATTAGACACTCCCATCCTTTATTGCCATCCTTCCTCCCTACCACACACAACCCTATGAGGTGGGTATTAGTGTCTTCATGTTTCCAGTGGAAGAAATGGAATCTCGGAGATGGAAGGCACTTACCTAAGAGGAACTGAAGAGGGACCCAAGTAGGTCTGATATTATAGTTTACTCTAGCTACCCCTGAAGCCTCTAAGGAAGGTAGAATGATAATAATAAAGGTAGGACTAATCACTTACCAGGTATGTACTGGCATATGTTTAACAACTAGCTCTCTCCACAAACCTGATTTGTAGCATCTTCCAATTTCTGTGGTGTAAATACTCCTACTGTAGATAATTTCAAGATAGCCAAATTGTTGTCACTGAACACAAAGTTGAGAAATCCAAGCACTGTTGGCTCTTGTGAGACTGTGCAAGCTGAGTGCAGCTCACCAGTGGTACTTAGGCATGGCAGGCTCAATTTTAGCACCATAAATGTATGGGCATGTGTGGATAAAAGAATGTTAATATTGAGACCCTGCGTCATGACTAGTGCACAGAACAGTGGCTTCATGAAGGCAGAACCATGGGCATTGATTGACCTCTCTTGGTGCTCAATACCGTAGTCCCTCACTAAATGTTCATGATTGCTAAGTCAGGTGTCTGAGGTTCTAATTCAAGCACCTGCATCTAGGCCATAGTTTCTGCACTTGCAAAATGAGAACTAGACCCAGATCAGGAGTCATACCCTTGAACATCTCCAGAATCAGGTGGGGCGAGGGAAAAGGCAGTAAATGGGTGGAGCCCAGTGTATTATTTTGTATATTACACACCTATTATTACTGTGCATTATTAATATTAGTACCAGTGGTATTTATATATACTATGGTTATACAACTCATCTTTAAAAAATAAAACCTTAGAGATACAGTTGAAATTTATTTATTTTTATTATGATATAACTTACCTGCTAATCTTAAGCAAAAGGCTTCCTGAATTTTTATGTTTATGGACACTCATAAAACAACTACCCACATCAGGATGTGGCCTTTTCCAATTCTCCAGAATCCTCCACTTCTTCTGCCATATGCATTAACCAATGTTTTGGTCTTTATTATTATGGGTAGTTTTGCTTACCTTTGAATTTCATGTAACTCCAGTCATAGGTGTATATATCGCATGAGGCTCTCTCTCTCTCTCTTTTTTTTATTTTCTTTTTTTTGGGAGAGGTTTTTGCTATGGGGCACGTGCACTCGCCAGAAAGGCAGAGAGAGACAGACAGAAAGTGAGAAATCACCTCCTGGGGGGATGGCCATACAGCAATCCCTTCTCCTCCATTCTCCTCTTGGGATCTTGGGCACGCATGCACATACGCTCAGCATGAGTTTAAACTACCGGATCTGGGACTCGAACAGTGGTCGACTACATGGGAGTCCA